CCCGCCCTTGGGGGCTCTTGTCTGCAACCCTGATTCAGCACCAACACTAGGCAGCCAAGATTCATGTCAGCAGCTTAGATAAGCTCACCTATTCAGCAGCAGCTCTGGGACACACTGCTTCTAATTGCTTTGTAAGGATGTTGCCTGTTTTCTTTCCACTCCTGAGCTAGACACAAAGAAAAGATCTTCTCCTCCCATCTGCCCCTCTGAGCTGGGAAAAAGGTGCCATGCCACAAAACCAATAAAAATGGCACCACACTCAACAGCATGGTTCTAGACACTGTCATAGCCCAAAGAAGCCCCAGGCCAGGGACCCTGCAAAGAGCTCAAAATCTTCAAGAACAAAAAGCCTCTGTGATCTTGGCCATCACAACCCTGCACACCATGTCGTTTGGTATAAGCTGTGATAACCTGCTCTAAGAAGCATTTTAGGGGTTCATTCAGCCCTCAAATCTAGAGAAAGTCATGCTGTTGTAGCAACTGGATCTCTACATAGCCTTGAGTAACCAAGCTGATGAAGTAACTGCTTTACAGGCAATGCACAGACACACATGCAGACACACACAATCTCCATCCTTTTCCCTTTTACCAAAGACTGCTTGGTACTCATGCTCACAGGCATCTGGAGCAAAGCAACATCACAATGAGAAATAGTACAAAGTTGGAAGCCCGAGACGAAGAAGCAGGGCAATTTGGTACAAACCCTTAATACAATGGAGAGATACCATTTCCTTACTTGTATAGCGGAGTATGGATACTCCTTCTCCTTCCGTCTGATTGTCATTCACTGCTGCAAATACTGTGAAAGTATACAATGTCCCAGGAATTAAATCAGTAATTTCAGATCGGGTGACGTTGGACGTCAGGTTCCAAACAGAGGTGGTACCATTTGCAACCTGTATCTTGTACGTGTAGGAGCTGGCAGCTGTGTCGTTCATTTCCCACGTTAAGGTGACAGCAGTTGCACCAACATATTCTGCCTTGAGAGCATGGACTGGGCTGGGCCCTGTGAAAGGCAAGAGAACAATCTGTCAACCTGCGAGAACATCTGCTCACATACAGAGACAGAAGAAACACAGGCACACCACTGCTTCACTCTCTTCACATCAGTCATTGTTCGGAGTGCAGGAGCACCCCAACAACATCACCAGATGCTCCTGGAGGCTTTTGCATCAACCAGCAGCTAAAGGAGAACAGAAGAAAAGTCATTCTGAGTGGTATTCATCTCCCTTTGAGAGTCTAAAGCAGAAGCACAGGTCAGCACCATGCCATTGCTCCTAGAGCTTCTCCGCAGAATGTAGAGAGATAGGCAGGAAAAGGATGAGTATGGGGGGGGCGAATGATGGAGAGGTTTTGGGTTTGGTTTTTTTTTTTTTGATTGTTCACTTGGCTATTTTTTGCTTTTGTTGCTGCTCTGGAGGATTTTTGCTTCAGAGTTGGGGAGGTTGGAGGAGGTTTGGTGTTTTTTTAGAAAAAAACAAAAAACAAAGAACCCCCACTCAAAATCAGGATGATGTTTCTTCTACACATTAACACCCCATTCATAGTAGACAGCCAAGACAGGCCTGTATTATATTTTGGCCCTCAGCCAGGTAGTCCGAGCCATGAGCTGCCCACCAGACACAGAGCTGCAAGAAACTGTGACTTACTTGTATAACGGTCTATTAATGCCCCTTCTCCTTCCGTCTGACTGTCATTCACTGCTGCAAATACTGTGAAAGTATACAATGTCCCAGGAATTAAATCAGTAATTTCAGATCGGGTGACGTTGGACGTCAGGTTCCAAACAGAGGTGGTACCATTTGCAACCTCTATCCTGTATGTGTAGGAGCTGGAAGCGGCGTCACTCACTGCCCACGTTAAGTTGACAAAAGTCACACCAACGTACTCTGCCTTGAGATCATGGACTGGGCTGGGCCCTGTGAAAGGCAAGAGAACAGTGTCAACCTGCAAGAACATCTGCTCACAGACACAGACAGAAGAAACACAGGCACACCACTGCTTCACTCTCTTCACATCAGTCATCGTTCAGAGCACAGGAGCACCCCAACAACGTCACCAGAAGCTCCTGGAGGTTTTTGCACCAACCGGCAGCTAAGGGAGAAGAAAAGTCATTCTGAGTGGTATTCATCTCCCTTTGACAGCCCAAAGCAGAAGCACAGGTCAGCACCGTGCAAGCACTCCCAGGGCTTCACTTAGGAATATAGAGAGGTAAGAAGGAAAAAGCAGGGAAGGGCAGAAAAGCAGAACAGAGCATGATTTCAGTTCGAATGGACCTACAGTGATTATGTAGTCCAACTGCCCAACCTCTTCAGGGCTGACCAAAAATTAAAGCAAATTTTTGAGGGCATTGTCCAAATGCCTCAAACACTGACAGCTTGGGGCACTGAACACATCCCTAGGAAGCCTGTTTCTGTGTTTGACTATCCCCTTCAGTAAATAAATGCTTCCTCATGTCCAATCTAAACCTCCCCTGGCACAGCTTTGAACCATTCCCACATGTCCTGACACTGGATCCCAAGAAGAGTTCAGCACCTCCCTCTCCGTGTCCCCTCCTCAGGAACCTGTAGAGAGCAAACGGTTCAGCCCTCAGACTCCTTTTCTCAAACTAGACAAATCCAGAGTCCTTAGCTGTTCCTCAGAGGACACTGCTTTCAGCCAATTCACCAGCCATGTTGCCCTACTCTGGACACATTCCAGCACCTTCACAACCTTACTAAATTGTGAGGCCCAGAACTGCTCACAGTATTCAAGGTAAGGCCACACCAACACTGAATACCCCAGGACAATTACCTCTTTTCTCCACCTGATCACACTTTGTTTGATGCACCCCAGGTTTCAGTTTGCCCTCCTGGCTGCCAGAGCCCACTGCTGACTCCTACTGAGCCTAGTCTCGACCAGGACCCCCAGATCCCCCTCTGCGGGGCTGCTCTCCAGCCACTCCTCTCCCAACTTATACTTGTGCCCAGCATTACTCCATCCCAGGGGTAGAATCTGGCATTTGGATTTGTTTCATGCCATTAATCATTGCCCAGTGTTCCCATCTATCTAGATTCCTCTGCAAGGCCTCTTGTCCCTCAAGAGAATCAACTGCACCTCCCAGTTTGGTATCATCAGCAAACATGCTAATGGTGCATTCAACTCCTGCATCCAGACTGTTGATAAATATATTGAACAGAACTGGCCCTAGAATTGTGCCCTGAGGACTGCTCAGGTGAACAGTCACCTCTGGTGACCAATCACTGGCCACACTATCAAAAGCTTCACTAAAATCCAGAAAAACTACATCCACTGCCTTCCCTTCATCCACCAGGAGAGAACTGGCCCTAGAATTGTGCCCTGAGGACTGCTCAGGTGAACAGTCACCTCTGGTGACCAATCACTGGCCACACTATCAAAAGCTTCACTAAAATCCAGAAAAACTACATCCACTGCCTTCCCTTCATCCACCAGGAGGGTGACCTCATCAAAGAAGGACATCAAATCAGTTAAACAGGACTTTCCTTTTGTGAACCCATGTTGACTGTGCCTGATGATTACATTATTCTTTAAATGCCTTTCAATAGTACCCAGTATAATCTTCTCCATAATTTTTCCATGAACTGAGGTTCGTCTAACAGGTCTGTACGTTCTTGGGTCTTCCCTCATGCCCTTGTAAATTGGAGTACCACTGGCTGGCTTCCAGGCAGCAGGGACCTCCCCAGACTCCCATTTAGGAGATGATTGATAGGGGTAATGCCATAACACCCACTAACTCCAGTACTCCGGGATGAATCCCATCAGGCCCCATGGACTTGTGAGCGTTCAGCTGATACAGCTGGTCCCTTACAATTTCAGTGTCCACAAATGGAAATTCACTGTTCCCACACTCGTGGTTGTCCGAGTCGCAGGCCTGGGCACACCAAGATCTATAAGTATTATTAAAGACTGAAGCAAAAACCACATTGAATGCCTCTGCTTTTTCTTCATAACTATTAGTCAGATGACCACGTGTAACAAGTATCTGTCCAATGTTTTCTTTAGATCTCCTCCTACTATTAATGTACTTAAAAAAATCCCTTTCTCGTTATCTGAAACAACACTGGCCAGTTTCAACTCTGATTCAGCTTTGGCCTTGCATGTCTTCTCCCTGCATATACAAACCACGGCTCTGTACCCTTATTGAGAAACCTGACCTTGCTTCCAGAGATCATACAATTTCTTTTTCCTCTTGAGCTCCACAAGGCTTTCCCTGTTCAGCCAAATTGGTCTTCTGTCACACTTCCTTGACTTTCAACACAATGGAATTGCCTGCTCCTGTGCTTCTAAAAGGTGGTTCTTAAAAACTGACCAGCACTCATGAACTCCTAAGCCCTCAAAAGCAGACTTCCAGGGAACTCTGTTAAGTAGCTCCCTGTATAGCTTGAAGTTTGCCTCTTGAAGACTGGGGTCGCAACTCTGCTGTCTTTTTTTTCTCATTAAACTGAAAATTTTGAACTCAACCATTTCACAATCACATCTTCCATGAGTCCTTCTCTATTCACAAATGGTAAGTCTATAAGGGCATCTCTCATAATTGGCCTACTGAGTGTTGTGACAAGAAGTTGTCTCTCATATTAGGATACATGAGAACATGAGGAACAGAGTGGAAGGAAGGTGGGTTTTCTTTGGCTAGTTTTCCTTTGTCTTTTTTTAAAGCAGGGATATGTCTTTCCCACACATTAAGACCCTATGCTTAGTAAAGAGCCCAGATTAGGCCCCAGGATTAAAACATTATGTCTAAACAGAAGAGTTTTATATTTCAGCCCTCAGCCAGGTAGTCTGAGCCATGAGCTGCCCACCAGACACAGAGCTGCAAGAAACTGTGACTTACTTGTATAACGGTCTATTAATGCCCCTTCTCCTTCCGTCTGACTGTCATTCACTGCTGCAAATACTGTGAAAGTATACAATGTCCCAGGAATTAAATCAGTAATTTCAGATCGGGTGACGTTGGACGTCAGGTTCCAAACAGAGGTGGTACCATTTGCAACCTCTATCCTGTATGTGTAGGAGCTGGAAGCGGCGTCACTCACTGCCCACGTTAAGTTGACAAAAGTCACACCAACGTACTCTGCCTTGAGATCATGGACTGGGCTGGGCCCTGTGAAAGGCAAGAGAACAATCTGTCAACCTGCAAGAACATCTGCTCACAAACATGGACAGAAGAAACACAGGCACACCACTGCTTCACTCTCTTCACATCAGTCATCGTTCAGAGCACAGGAGCACCCCAACAACGTCACCAGAAGCTCCTGGAGGTTTTTGCACCAACCGGCAGCTAAGGGAGAAGAAAAGTCATTCTGAGTGGTATTCATCTCCCTTTGACAGCCCAAAGCAGAAGCACAGGTCAGCACCGTGCAAGCACTCCCAGGGCTTCCCTGGGAAATACAGAGAGGTGGGCAGGAAAGAGATGAGGATGGATGGTAAGGTGGAGAAGGAAGATAATTAAAATCAAAAGAAAACCATCAGGGCTGTGTTTCTGCTGCACACTAACATCCCATCCTTTGCATATAGCCCAGGTCAGGCTCCAGGACTAACATATGATGTCTATACACAATAGTATTGAACGATAGTCCTCACAGAGGGAGGCAGAGCCCTAAGCTGCCCAGCAAAATTTAGTCCACCAGAAATAAGGCTGTGACTTACTTGTATACAGGTCTATGGATGCTCCTTCTCCTTCCGTCTGACCGTTGTTCACTGTTGCAAATACTGTGAATTTATACAATGTCCCAGGAATTAAATCAGTAATTTCAAATTGGGTGTCATTGGACGTCAGGTTCTGAACAGAGGTGGTAGCATTTGCAACCTCTATCCTGTATGTGTAGGAGCTGGAAGCAGCGTCGTTCACTTTCCATGTTAATTTGACAGAAGTCACACCAACATATTCCGCCTTGAGATCATAGACTGGGCTGTCCCCTGTGCAAGGCAATTAAAAAAAAATAAAAAATTCTTTTAGCATGCAAGATTATTTGCTGACAAACGCACAAAGCACTCTTCACCTCGCCATACCCAAACAACAGATCTCTGCAAAAGAGTAATCTGCCTGGGAAGATAATCAGGTCACCCTTACATGTTGCAAGGGACACTTGCTAACTCTGTCATCTGCATTTCCTCTAAATCCTCAAGTTTCAGTTCATCTCAAGGAGTAAAACTATCTAGCTTCGGCAGTGATTACCATCCAGCCTCAACTGTCAACTTCATTCAGGGTGCTGAGAGCGACTGGAAAATACAACCTTCTGTTATTTTTGCCTAAGCTGGCTATCCCAAAGAGAAGAGCCTTCGATCTGCAAGATTCACACAGCTCTCCTCTGGATACATGATACCCTCTACACTCGGTAGCTGTACTCTGTTACGTATGTATGTCAAATCTGTACGTCACAGTATGTTTGAGCCGTTGCAGCTGTAACGTAAAAAAGCCACAATAAGCAGGGAACAGAGCCTAAGTCTAACAGTGATAAAACTATTTCAAGGCCAAACAACAATCACAGTGTTAAATTGCACTCACAGTCAGCTGTGTCCATATATTTCTTTGGCCCATTCTCTACTCCAGTAAACCAGCTGGATCCACACCCCTGCATGCTCTTTGCACTCTGGACTAGAGTTTGGGCTTAAAATGCTAACACAGTATAAAAACACAAAACACCCTGAAGAGTCACATCTCAGTCACATTCCACTTACGTGTTACGTTGTCCTGACCACTTTTTGCGCTGTCGAATAGTGGCACAGCCCTAGCTAATCTACTTCCATAGGTTTTGTTCTCACTTGTAGAATTTACTGATAAATTATCATTACTACTGGCTCCTGTTTCTGCAGTTACATTTTTTGAACTGCAATCCTCAGTGCCTGAAAGAAAGAACACAAAGCAGTAAGTATCTTTACAAAACTTCTGCGTTTCCCGTTTGCAAACCTACAGTCATTTATAGATATCATGCAGACTTGCAGTCACTTCCTTCTTCCCAGTTTGTTCTCCTACAGAGTGTGTATTTTTCTCCCATGTTATCAGAAGCTGAGCTGCTTTACTTAGCCTCAGTGTATAAGCAAAAAAGTTCTCAGATTCACAGAGTGTGTTCCCACAAGTAAGGACGAGACATGGTATACCTACAGAAAACAGCTTTAGGCTGATATACTGCAGCCCAATATGTGGAGAGACTTGATTCAGGCCCTAAAATTTAAAGGCTAACTCAGGCAAGTCTGATGTTCAATATTAAGGTAGAACTCATGTGCAAGTACTTTTGGAAATCTTTGCCACATGAAAACTTGTCATGTTGGCAAGTACAGCACTATGCTCACTTCAGAAAATCCTTAAAGTATCACTTTGCATGTCTTTTTTTGTTTTGGGTTTGCTCGGGTTGTATTGCCTTTAAATATATTCCCCAATCTTCCTAAGCACATTATATGTTGATTTTAACCAAAACTCTTTACAAACTGAAAAGCAAAGGAAAAGTGCACATTTATATATTTAAATATCCTTTAACACATATCAGGAATTGCAGTCACTAAAATAAGCAAGTTTACATTTTTGAACGCTATCTCTAAAAAAAAAACAACCACTTCCTGAAAAGAATTTTTAGATACTTAGCTGATACTGTTCAATCTTTCTTAAAAGAAATTAAGATAACGACAGTTATCTTAAAAAAATTGTAATTGAGTAACAGAATGATACTTACAGGCAATTGTACATCTGACCTGGAAAACACAAACAAACAGAAATTAATAGGTTAAAACCACTTGAAGCTCAAACAAAATAAGGACTTGTTTAATTAACACATGGTGGGGGAAAATCAGTTAAAAAAACTCTCTCTATTGTTCCACTCCAGACTTTTCAACCTGCAAAAGAAAAACCTAAAAATCTATTGACGTAAAGATAGCACCAAAACGATACCCAACTATTAGAGGAAAAAAACAAACATGCTGATAAAATGTTACTTACTTTTTTGTTTGTTTGTTTTTAAACTAAACAGTTTATTTTGTCACAGAAACAGCTTGCATAACATATGCACATGGTGATTACTTTGCAAATATAAATTTAAAAACAAAATGTACAAGAGCCTAGTCAAAAGACATTTTAGTGAGTACCACTGACACGATCCCATAAAAGCAGCAGATGCAAATTAGGTCTTTTTTTATTTATAAGTTTTTTCTTTCATCCCGTTCTTGTATAAATTTTATTATTACTTCTCACAAACAAATATTTTGCATTTTCTGAAACAAACTCCATGTAGTAAAAAGTTCAAAACACTTAATATATATTCTGAAATCTAATTTATGTATGTGCACACATCCATAAAGTATCACCAGTTGCCATTTAACTGCAGCATGAAAGTACTCTCCTAGTAATACTGACAAGCACACCAGAATTTCCCTTTGAAAAGGTTTTGGTTTGTTTGTCTTTCAACTTCATGCTTTTACTTCCGAATAAACCATAATAAACCCTTCCTGTTAGCATGCAAACTGGCCTGTAAATTGTTGTCTTCGTCTCCCTCCAGGTGGCAGTACAAAATGCTCCGAAAGCAGTGAAACAGAACTGCAGGAGGTCTGCAGGCGCTTGAGAGGGAAACTGTGATTCCCGGAGACTCCCGAGCCAAGCCAGCAGGCGCTTGAGAGGGAAACTGTGATTCCCGGAGACTCCCGAGCCTCTCGTAGCCGGCTGACGCCAAGCCCCTGCAGCAGCCACTTCTGCCATCTAACAGTTTACTTCAGCAACTCTATCAGGGATTAAATACCTTGTAAAGCTACACACAAGGCAAAAACAAGTGTGAAGAGATACATGTCCCAGGGACGGGCAGGTCCCCACCGTGGGAGGTTTGCAGGCATGGGAAGCTTCTGCCTCTGCACTTCTGGGTCTGGTTTTGGCATCACAGTGGGTGCAGGCAGAGGCAGGTTCCAGCCCCAGTTGCTCTAACACCACCTGCACAAGGGCTAGTCGTCTGGTTGGACCTTATGCTGTGTTGCTCCTAGATCTGGCTAAGCTTTATGCTGCATTGGTGCCTTACCCACACAAAGCACAAGCTATCTCTCAAAAAAACAAAAACAAAACAAAAAAAAAAAGCAGCAGCTATATCACAAAAACCCAATGCAAAGCTTGAATCTCAAATCATTCGCCCCTCTCAGCTCTTGTGTTGCTGGTGCCACAAGTAGCTCCGGCAGCAGTAGCTCCCTGCATCAGAGTCATGGGCCCAAGCAGACAGACCCTCAAAAAGTAGTCAGAAGATACCATCAAATCATCTTGTCCTGTGTATGAGAGACTATAAAAGTACTCTCCATGAATATGAGGCAGGTCAGTTGACTAGAAACAACCCTAGAAGCAACGCCTCCAGCTTCACAATAAGGAGCAATGCAGCAGAAACAAGCATCAAGTGGAGAGACTCCCTTCCAGCCTGTGATGGTCTCTGTGCCACAACAAGAAGAGTTTAGGCATGCTTTCTAGGCAAAAAAACACTTGTAAGTATCAAAGAGCTAGCGCCTGGTCTTCTCTAACACAGCCCTACTAACAACTTGGCACACAAAGGTCATTACTTGGGATGCAGATGTCCTATGTACAAGTATGAAGCTCTTTTTTAACTTTTCTGAATATTTGAGAGGCCAGCCAAGCTGCAAGGCTATTAGGAAGTGAAGAAACATTCGTCTGCACTCAGGTCAAGAGCCCTTCTGTATTCTTTCACTAAGAAGTGGCCAAGAAAGAAGAGATGACAAAGGAAAAAGCAACTCTTAAATCAGGAAAACACTACCAGCAGCATTCACAGGAGAAGTGCTGAGCACGAGGTGGAAACAGCTGCTGAATAAGCAAGAGGTGAGTTTCCCTGAAAAGCAGGACAATCTAAGAGCAAAGCCAAAAAGATACTATGTTTAATAAAAAAGGGCAATTTCAAAAAGAAGAACAAAACCAACAAGAACACCACAGGACTGAGGACACCACAGTGATTTCTGCAGTCCCGCAGATGAAACAGCAAAAGCCTGATATCTTTTACAACCTGTTCTCCAGTTAGTTTCTCTTCTGTAAAACTGCCTGAAGATGATGAAGTTTCTCGTCTCCTTCTCCCCACATTTTGAATTCAAGGGCACAGCATCCTTCCTGAGCAACAGGAAAAAAACAGGTATGCTACTACCAAGTCTCCTGCACCCCTGCTTCTACCTCCCCCTTTCTTCCCCACAACCTTAAAGCAGCAGCGTGTTGATTCCTGTTTTACCCCCAGCTACAGCCACCTGAACTAACAGCAAATTATTACCAAGCAGCTAGAAACTTTATCGCACTGTCACCTGTGGGCTTTTTAGTGATGGGCAAACAACGAAAGGAAAGTTATGCTAAAACTCCTGTCACCTGATGAACGAACCGCTTCCCATCCCTTTATTTGTTTTTCTTTATCAGACACTTTGGCAATACCCCCTCACAATACTCCTCTGACTTTCCAGAACCCGATGTGCAAACAAAAATTAAAAAAAAAAAGCACATCCCATTGGCCACAGGCAGGCCTCCTCCTGATCCAAAATCACGTAAAACAAATGATCCCATTCCCAAGCGTCAGTCTGCCTGACTCAGTCATTCCATGCTGTATTTTTCAACATAAGCCACGAACTGAACTGTTCTCCAGCCTTATGTTATTACTTAATGAGATGCTATTTATACAAAAACATTTGTTTATTATTTCAGAGCACATTTGCGCTGAACACCTGATTCTCCTTGTGTTTGCCTCTGATATATCAGGAGCCCTGCCATCTCCACTTTTCTTTTCAATTACATGAATCCATATTATTCATTTATAGAGTTTTGTTGGGTTTTTTTTAACCAGAAGAATGGAACCTGGTGTAGGGGCGGAACATCTCCCCCCCGAAAATAAAAGATAGTAAAATCCTAAACACTGAACATGTCAACCAAAAAACAGGAGAAATGTGTGCACACAAACTCATTACTGTCATCAGTAATGGCAAATTAATCTTTTCATGTGTCACAGAGCCATGCTTAGAGTCTGATCAAAGGCTGTACATTCCAGAGGAGATGAATAATTCATCTGCACCAACACAAGGTCTGTCCTGCGCTCCTTATGTGTGAAGTTTATTACTGGCCAGGAGCTGGTGGTGTATAATAGATGCAGAATTCAGGCCCATTCTCCTTGGGTATACAGTGAGTTGCCTAATTGAAGAATTATTATTATTAGTCTCATGGGTAATCTTATCAAGGAGGAAATACTACGTACTGCAGGAAAACATTCAAAATTACTAGGTGACTGAGAAGCCCAAGTTCCACTGATATTTGGTAAGACTTCAATTAAGGCTAAGATACTTTCAGGAGCAGGATTTAAAATGTGCCTCCTGTACACATGCATCGGGGGAGCCACTGGAGCTGGTCAGCAGCAGGGAAGACAGTAATGCCTCCCCTTCTGCTGGCCACAAGATTAGATCAGCTTGGTTCTGCTGCCAGACTGCACCCTCTAACAAAGTTAGGGCTTCTGCATCAGGGGAAACCCCTTGTCAACAACGGCCCACCCGCCGGGGGTGCTCCAGTTTCCAAAATAAACAACATGGCTTGGTTCATGTAAATACGAGGTGAAGAAGCTGGCTACACAGTCAAAGTGAGCAAACCGAAAAATCCTAACCAAAAAACCCCCTTCACCACAAACCCTTTCTGAGAACACCACTTGAGGCTGCTGCTTCCCATTTCTTGTGTGCTCACCCGTGTGTGCCTTGTGACTCAGATGCAAAAAGCCAGGAAATTAATCACACCCCTCTCAAAGCTAATGATCTTTCACATGTGTACCTTCAGATCTCTTCTCTACCCATCCATCCTCTCAGGTTTGGAGGAGCTCCACAAAAATACCACCAAGCTACCACAGTGGTCTCCAAATTCTCTCTTGATACCCTTTCACAAAAGCAACAGCAGAATTCAGATCACTGTCCCAGTAACCCTGGTCTCGCTTCATTATTTATTTTTTTTTCCTGCTGTGTCCACCTACCATTAGTTGTCCCACTTCCATAATTATGGGCTTTAGGGCAAGCCACCACACTGCAACCATCATGAGGACTTTTAGACTCCAGGCTTCGCTTTGCTGCTGTTATCTGTCATCACTGCTCAGACAACAAACACTAACCAACAACGATGCAGTAAGTTGGCCACTTTCAGACCACTCTGCTACTTCTGATATTTCATACTTGGCATAGGTTTATTCAGAAAGCATTTCCATAGAAAGGTTTTATTCAAGATCACACAAAGTAACTGAAAATTAAACCTGGAATGTCACTGGGAAGCCCCACAACAACAGAATGCCCAGGTACTGCATCCACAGACTCATATAATTTTCCAATGCTTGCTAATTTTCTAGGATTTGTAAGGCACTGAGTGTTACTCCAGCTGGGGACATCTTCCTGCTTCACTGGGAGTGTAAAGTCTAAATCAGCAGGGAGTGACACCTTCCTGCAGGAGACAACAGTCTCAGAGACAGGAGTGAGTTTGGAAAGATCATAGAATGGCTTGGGCTGAAGAGACCTTAAAGATCATCCAGTTCCAAACTCTTGCCATGGGCAGGGACACCTCCCACTAGACCTGGTTGCTCAAAGCCCCATCCAAGATGTAATGTTTCTGTCTCTTGCAACCCATCTCAGGGCTGTTTCACCTCATTCATTCGCACAATATGTCCAAATTAATGAAGTTTGGACAGTACTGGGCAAGAAAAACGAGATCACCTAAACGGGGG